GGCTGACCCAGGGAAAAAGGCAGGAAGCCTGGCTCTGAGGTCGCTGCTTCAGCTCCCCCTCTCCCCCAGCAGAGGCGCCCCCGCCTGGCGGGGCTGGGAGGAGCCCAGAGCCGGGCTGCTGGGTCCTGGTGACAGCCCCGCTGCTGCAGCTTGGGGATGAGCCCCGGGGCGGGCCCCTTCCGGCGCTGAGGGGCCCGGGCGGCACCATGAGGATCAAGTTCAGCAGCCTCGCTCTGTTTGCGGTCCTCCTGGGCGTTTTAAGTTTCAGCTTCCTGGTGGCGGCCCTCGGGACCGACTTCTGGTACATCATCGACGCCTCCCCGCTGGAGCGCAACAAAGCCGCGGGGGAAGCCGGCAGGGGGGCAGCCCAGGCGCGCCCCTTTGCTCCGCGTCTTCCTGGTCTGCAGACCAGGGAGATGCGGAGCAGCTTTTCTTGCCGGGGAGTACACGGGCAGCGGGACCGCGCGGTCCCGCAGTCCGTGTTCGTAACTGCGGATCCGACATAAGTCGGATCCGCGTAAGTCGGGGACTGCCTGTAAATCTATAAAAATTAGGCTTGTCCTTATTCTGGTAACCCATGAGAAACAACAGTAACCCCCCAGTCTATTGAATAGACAAATGCCCTTCTAATCCTCTACCCTTAAGGGTACGTCTAAACTACATGGCTCCGTCGACAGAGCCATGTAGATTAGTGTACTTGAAAAAGGGAAATGAAGCGACAATTTAAATAATCGCTGCTTCATTTAAATCAAAATGGCCACCGCGCTGCGCCAATTAGCTGATTGTCGGCACAGTGTGGCAGTCTAGACGGGGATCTGCCGACCCCAGAACCCTTCATTGGCAGATCCTATAAACCTTGTTTCATGAGGCATAAAGGATCTGCCGACGAAGGGTTCTGGGGTCGGCAGATCCCTGTCTAGACTGCTGCTCTGTGCCGACAATCAGCTGATTGGTGCAGCGCAGTGGCCATTTTGATTTAAATGAAGCGGCGATTATTTAAATAGCAGCTTAATTTCCATTTGCTGTCCTGCCTAATCTACATGGCTCTGTAGACGGAGCCATGTAGTTTAGACACACCCTAAAAGACTATACAGGCAGTCCCCAGGTTACATGGATCCGACTTACATCGGATCCCTACTTACAAACGGGGTGAGGCAATCCCGCACTAGCTGCTTCCCCCCAGCAGACCAGGGAGACGCGGAGCGGCTTTTCTCAGCAGACACCTCAGCTTGAGAATAAAGGACTGAGGGAAGTGAGGTGTGGGAGAATAAAACTGAGCTCTGGAGAAATGTTTGGCTAGAGTTTCCCCTACAATATATACCAGTTCCGACTTACATACAAATTCAACTTAAGAACAAACCTACAGTCCCTATCTTGTACGTAACCCGGGGACTGCCTGTATTAGACAAACAGGAAAGGTTGCTCCATGTAAAGTTCCTTTTCTGGAAATGCCTGGCAAGAACTTTCTTCATATTTAAATCATAACTCTAGCTACTCAAATGCCTCAGGTGATTTCAGCTATTTCTGTGTCACACAAGAGACAGACAATTTCTCAGGTAGCCAACCCCAAACAATTACTTTGTTATAGGTCAAAATAAGTACATTAAATTGCACTTGAAAATTAACTAGGGACCCATGTATATCTCAGAGGACAGACATAATATGCTCCTTCCAGAAATAACTAAGCAAACTGACTACTGTATTCTGCATCTACTAAAGTTTCCAAATGGTCTCCAAATATAACCCTATCCAGAGTATTCCAATTCAAGTAATTCAGTTTCAAGGTGACAAAGCCATGGATAACTGTAATGAGGAATGCACTCAAAATATATTGAGCAAGAGATTTATATTGACTCTTATTATGTCAATGGGAGATTTTTTAAAGCTACAGGATAAAATAATTGCATTTAAAAAGTCATTAGTATTACTAAAGTTTACCTATAAATAAATTGACAAGAGCAAGAAGAATTAAGATGGCCATTCCATAGTTTAATGTCTAATCTTGCAGTCAGCAAACAGCAGTATGTAATACACATTTAACTGCATTGAGGTAAAAGGTAGAATGAGAGTTTTACTCTGAATTTTTATTATTTTATCTGCTTTGTGTTTTGTCTGAATTGTACATGAACATGTATTCCTTTGTTTTATAAAGTGATTTACATCTGACTGAATGTCTGATAATGTAACTGTTAATGTAATGTTTTACAGAGACTGCAGTCAGGTAGAAGCTAATATAAGTACATTTGTGTCTATCTTTTAGTGTGTAAATTTAAAGCACATAAAAGGTGTGCAGTCAGGGCAACAAATAATTGCAAGTGGACTACATTAGCCTCCATTGGGAAGGATATCATTGAGGATGAAGATGGTGTAAGTATTATTCAGGCTTTCAATACTTCACAACAGTTAATTATTTGTTAGGTGCTTCATTTTATTTTTAATTGGTAAGTGTAGAAATGTTATGTTGCCCATTAAAGTTAATGGTAGTTGGCTGTATTGCTATAGATTTTTTGTTAAAAGCTTGGTCCCAGGTTATATTTTAGGGGACATGTTTACCATCAGTGGGCTCTAGAAGGACAAATTCCATGGTACACAATTCTGTGAGCAGTATGGAGAGAGTCTCTGAGCTTTGAGAATTGCTATGAGAAGCCCCTCTCGATCCTACTTCAAACTTGAGCGAAGAAGGTGTATTTATGTTAGACTAATTGATGTGCTGTTTTTTCTGTCTGTTTTGTCTTTTTGTAACTGACTCCGAATTTCCAGGAGATCTGTTTAGAATTCATTGATGTATATATATTACTATATATTGATACATATGTTCTATTGATACATTCAAGAGTTAAAATGTAACAACAGTTTTTTCCTGAGGTGTGTCAAAGTAGATGAGTTAATTTTACTGCCACCGGCATGAAATTTGTCTCTAGGAGGTTAGTGCTAGAATTGCCAAAAACTTGCAGGCATACAGAAATTTACATACTTATATATAGGTGCAAAGAGTAAATCAGAGCAAAGCTTCAGGAGGATGCTAAATTGCTGATCTTTTTTTAGTTTTACTGCTATGCTATTTAACTTTATAATAACTTCCTCACAGATAGCTATGCCTCACCAATGGTTAGAAGGTAATTTGCCTGTCAGTGCCAAATGTGCAGTCTGTGACAAGACCTGTGGCAGTGTTTTACGTCTCCAAGATTGGAAGTGCCTTTGGTGTAAAGCTATGGTAGGTACCGTATGGCTTGTGAAAATGTCTTGGATTCTGACAGGATGATTATTTATCCATTATTCTTATTTTTTGTTACTTACTTTTGGAAGGGAAGGAGACAAGGCAGCTTATAAAGATCTGTCCAAGTCACACATTAACATTTATAATTTAGAATCTGTCCAACTTGTCTGTTTTAATATGTCCATAAATACAGTTTTTTTCTAGTTTCCGTCCTTGCCATGTATCATACATCCTTCACATTTTTCCAAATTCCATGAGGCCATGGTCTAAAGCTCACTGAAATCAATGGCGAGCCTTTATGCTTTTACTTCAGTGAGCTTTGAATTAGATCCTTTATACTTCATCCTATACTAGAGTTGCTTGTGTTTTGAGGTCTTCTGCTTGAATAGGTGGTGGCATACTCTGTGCTCTTTATATTTTTATATGTGTCTATCATGTTGGTTCTTCATTTTGTCTAATAAATATAAATCTAATTATCCTAATCTATCCTGAAATATATAATCGCTGAGCCTTCATTACCCCTGTTCCTATATTCTGTACTATTCCTTATGTGGCATACATTTAAATTCTCCATCATTCTATTACTGTCTTCTCATCAATATATAATTGCATTTCTTCTCTTGATGCCTTTATTTCTTGATAGCTTCTCTTCTGTAATTTGGTGCCTTTCCTAGAAGTGGGAAATCTGCAGGACTTTTAACTACAGTATAATAGTGCAGTATGAATATTTTATTTAAAAATAGATATGCAACATTAAACCATAGATTATTCAGTTATGTTTGAATATACTGCAGTACAATCTGTTATGTATTACCCCATCTCTGAATAATACCTAGCTACCAATTTTATTATAAAATCGTACATATTGGGAAACAATTATTCATTTAATATTTTTTCCTTAGGTTCACACTGCCTGTAAAGATCTGTTTCCTCGTAAGTGTCCGCTTGGACAATGTAAAGTATCCATCATACCTCCAACAGCACTCAACAGCATAGATTCTGATGGTACGTAGTATAATGGGTCACTAGTATTTATACTACTGTTACTTTTTCACTGAGATTTCTACCTAAAGCAGGGCTAAAAAAAATTTTCATAGATAAGTTAGTCTCCAGATTTAGCGCACCACCACTTTGGATGATGACTGAATTTTCCATGTAATTATTTTTGAACACTATATACTAGCTTGTAGAGGAAATATTTTAAATGCTCCCCTTTTAAAATTTTTCTGTTCTCATATTTCACTGGGATCTCCCAGCTAAACAGTCCTTGCAAATTTCACACAGGCCCAGTTTTGAAAAACACAAAGAATAATTTCTTTAGCTCCAAATCTCTGTTTTGTGTTATGCAAAGATCAGCTTCCTGAACTCTGCAAATGCACCATTGTAACAGTCCATGACTCACTGCCTCGGTGCCTCCTGTTGTTCTCCTTGGGAATTAGCTCTTCAGCCTTGGAACATCTTCTTCTGGCTGGTGTCTCTCCCTCAGTTACTGCCTTCTGCACTGGTTCAGGTCCCATGTTTCTCCCAGTTCACAAGTCCCTTTCCTCACAGTACTATCCTACAGCAGTGCTCCACACTCTGGGGTCCTCCCCTGCCAAGGAACTCCAATCCCTTATACACACCTTCCCTCATTGACCCACTGCGAGTTATCATCTAGCTCAGTGGTCCCCAACCTGTGGAGGTTGCCGGGCGCCAGGGGGCATGGCCGTTCGCCCGCTGGGCGCCAGGGGGCGGGGCCCCCCCCATAGCCGCGCGCCCCCCCCATAGCCGCGCCCGGGGCCGGCGCCCCCCGGGGGGTGCAGGGGTGTGGACTTGTTCATCTTGGCCTCTGGGGATAGAACAAGAAGCAATGGGCTTAAACTGCAGCAAGGGAGGTTTAGGTTGGACATTAGGAAAAAGTTCCTACCTGTCAGGGTGGGCAAACACTGGAATAAATTGCCCAGGGAGGTTGTGGAATCCCCATCTCTGGAGATATTTAAGAGTAGGTTAGATAAATGTCTATCAGGGATGTCTAGACCAGTGGTCCCCAACAATTTGAGGTTGCCGGGCACCAGGGGGCATGGCTGTTCACCCACCGGGTGCCAGAGGGCAGGGCCCCCTCCAAGGGCCGCATGCCTGGGACCAGAGCCCCCCCCAAAGCACTGCGCGCCCGGGGCTGGCGACCCCCCTCCAAGTGCCGTGCGCCCGGGACCAGGGCTGGCGGTCCTTCCATGTGCCACGCGCCCAGAGCGGGGGCGGCCAATCCACGGTGCTCCCGGGGCCAGCGCTCACTGTGCACCATGCACCCAGGGCCCGCTCTGGCACCATGCATGCGCCACATGCCTGGGGCCAGGCCAGCCCTGAGCACTTGGCGGGCGCACACGAATGCCCCCGCGGGTGCCATGGCGTCTGCGGGCACCGTGTTGGGGACCACGGATCTAGCTCCTGCCCTAGGGGCAAACTGCAGACTGAAATGGCCACTCATCGTTGGCAAGGGGGTGTGGACCTGCTGCCTTCTTCTGCCCTGGGTGCCTCCCTGCAGTCCTATTACTGTCAGGCCTTGAGAGCAAGGCCTCAGCCTGGGAGTTTGCCTGGCCAGAGCTCTCCAGCTCTGCCTGCCTTTCCCCAGCACATTTCTGACTCAGGTACACCTTCAAGCAGCCAGGTGCTTCTTGCCCCACCACTGGAGCAAGAGTGCACTCATCCTTTCCTGGAGCCCCTATTTTTACTATCCCAGCTGGGCCCTAATTGGCTGCTATCTGCCGCAGCTGCTTGCTCCGCAGCCCCAGCCCTCTCTCAGGGCTAGATTTAACAATTATTTCACTTGAAGTGGGGTGACCGTCCCACTACAACCATCTTATGATGTTTTTAAGGGCAAAAAATACCATTTCCAATTTCTATTCACATTTTATTTTAAGCAGGAACACTCTTGTTGACATTTGAAAAAAATACCAATAAACATAGTGAAAATTGAAAGGTGCCGTCTGTTAAGGATGGCAACAAGTTTGATATTAGTGGCAGGACAGAAGGTTTAGTGAAGGTTGGGAAGATCAATTGTTGAGTGAAATGTTGACAAACACATTTTTTTATTTCACTTTTTTATAGTTTGTGCTGGTGTCGTAGGCAACCCCATTACCTTTAAATTAGGATTTTTTTTGTGATGGTCTGGGATTAATATAAATCTCTGTGAATGCTGCAGATATTCACTGTGTGAACTTACTGTCTAATGTCTTTGGCTGAAGCAGTGAAATTGCTACTATTCATTATTCATGCTAAGAAGATTGCTGTCATTATAAGTGCAATTAGATTGCTTACTAGTGAAAAATATTTTAAATTATGCATTAATAGAAAATGGAATTATATTAAACTTCTTACACTTTCAAAGTCCATTTTTAATTAATCGGAACTGATATGATTTTTAGCTTTCTTATTTGTTTTTAGACAATTAAAAAGATATTCTTACCCAAAATAGAGTTCAAACCTGGTCACATATGGCCTGAGCAAAGTGGTGCTGATGCTGACCATCCATAACTCCCATTGGGCCCTGAGTAAATGTGATTTTCATGACAGCATTGTACATTAGCATTATTTACTAAAGGTCTGACCCAAAGCCCATTGAAGACAATTGAAAGACTTGCAAAGACTTCAGTTAGCTTTGAATCAGACCATAAGGGTGTGTTGTTCTGTCTTTCCATTATAACTCAGCTGTATGAATTCAGTTTGAAATAAAAGTTTTCATGTAAAGTCTCCATTGGGAGTAATTTAACAACATCACTTTTTTTTTTTTTTGAAATGTATGCGGGTTCTTAGAGTCAGTGGGATTGGTAGGTTTTATAGATTGAAGGTCTCAGTTCAATACTCATACAGCATGGTGCAACCTGACAGAAGCTTTAAAAAACAAGTCAAAAAAGCTATGGAAAAATTATTTTCTGTTGTGGTGATGAGTGCTGGAAGAACATTAAATATTCCATCAGCCCACCTTTTTGCTGTGAAAAATAAAAGCCGTTTTCTTCGGTTTTGCTAAATATACACAAAAAATCAGATACAAATATGATAGACAAAAAAGCAAAGTGGTAAATTTGAAGTAGATTTAATAATGCAGTGCTGTTCTCCTTGAAGCTAATATTCAATTCAGTTTTTTGCATTATGTATTGCATGATTGCATCCCTTTGTCCTTTCATTCATACTCCTCTCCTTTCTTGTGATTTTTCTTGAATGTATTCATATATAAAGGCCTTACTTGTTTAATTCTTTCTAACTTTGTTGACAGGATTCTGGAAAGCCACCTGCCCACCATCCTGTGCCAGTCCTCTTTTAGTTTTTGTTAACTCAAAGAGCGGAGACAATCAGGGAGTAAAGTTTCTTCGTCGATTCAAACAGTCGCTAAATCCAGCTCAGGTGTTTGATCTAATGAATGGAGGACCTCATTTAGGGTAATTAACTTCGACATTTTGAGCAATCCTTTTCAAAAGGAATGGAGTACAGAGTGACTCAGTTGTCCCTTGATTGTAGTACTTTTTAAAAACAATGTTTATATTTGGTTTCCTATTGACATCTGTAACAGATAAAAATAAAGTGTAAAACACTGGTCACTTGTAACTGCATTAGCAAGTCTGAGGGTGTAAAGGATTTTTTTTTAAAGATTCACTTGACATTAAACATTCATATTTTTATGGACTTTTGTCTAGCTTCAGACTGGTCTCTACAAATGCATCCTGCAGCAGTGACAGAATGGGGCTTGTGGAGTTTGCACTAATGCTCTAAAACTAGCCGTACAGATAGTGCTTTGAAGTTGTGGCTGAGGCTGGCAGTCAGACTCTGAAGCTAGGGAGGGGGCAGGATTACCACAGGTTGTGTAGACAATACCCCCTCAGACCCTGATTTGGAAGAGCTAAGCATATGCATAAGTGCTTTCCTGAATCACAGCATTATACACAGTCGAAAGAAATTTGTGTTTTAATGCATTTTTTAACATACAGTTCAGCTATAAGTGGCAGCTCCCTATGAATATCTGTATGCAGAAACATATCTGTATGTGTAAATATTTCTGTAATCTCTTAAAATACCTTTAAAATAATATTCTAAAAAGGCTTTGAGGCAGGTATACACTACCAGTTAAATGGATTTAACTTACATTGTGAAAATGCCCCCTACCAAAGTGACACAGGTTTTGTGCTGTCCATATCCACAGTGTGTTGGCAGGAGACACTCTCTTGCAATATAGCTTCCACTTCTCAATGAGGCAGAATAATTATGCCGAGAGGAGAGAGTTTTCCAGTCAGTATAGGGCATCCTCATCAGATGTGCTACAGTGGTGCCACAGATTTGCTCTTACAATTTTGGACACAAATAGCACTTTGAAAATGCTGCAGTAAATTATGTGCTTGGTTAAGTGTATTAGCTTAACCAACCATTAGACCTAAATTCAGTTACAGTTAAGGTCACCAATGCAAATGAGCTATTATTTGAACTTTATACAGAATTTATCATATATTTGTTGGAGACAAAGCCAGGACTAAAATAACACAGGTAATGCAAGACAAGATTTAAATTAATTAGTAGAGTTTAAGGAGGGAAATTTGCACAGTGAGTGCCATACATTATTTCAATGCTTTCATAAAATATTAAATTTATATACAAATATTTGTGATCTAAGCCTATTCCACTCAGATATTGCTTTGTGATTAAATGTCTTATTCGTGATAGGTAATACCAAGTAAATATGTTTATTTTACATTTTTAAGATGGCAGATCTATGTTTGTATGATTAAAAATTTAAGAAGCCCCTCAAATAAAAAATGAATCTATTTGCATTTATATTTTCTATATCTATAACTTACTTTCCAGCATAACTTTAATTTAGATCCAGACATTTTAAAAAATCCTTTAACCAAATATTCCACTTGCCAAGGGAAATGAGAAGACACAGTTGAATTGGGCTACCCATTTTTGAGATATGAAAGTTTAACAATTGTATCTTTTTTAAAATTATGGTTTTTTTGTCAAGTTGTATCTCAAAGCATTTTGGTTTAGAAACTTCACTCAGTGCAAGTTGGGAGCTAATTCACTATACAGGCAGTCCCCGACTTACGCGGATCCGACTTATGTCGGATCCGCAGTTACGAACGGGGCTTTTCTCGCCCCGGAGGACACGGACTGCGGGACCTCGCGGTCCTGCCGCCCGTGTGCTCCTGGGCGAGAAAAGCTGCTCCGCGTCTCCCTGGTCTGCAGCTAGTGCGCCCCCCCAGCAGACCAGGCTTTTCTCGCCTGGGGTAGAGCAGCTGGGGCTGCTGGGTTGGTCCTGCAGCGCCGCTCCTCAGTGCTACTGGACCAACAGGGCAGCACCCCAGCTGCTCTTCCCCAGGTGTCCCCAAGTCAGCCGCTGATCAGTTTCAGCAGCAGCTGACTTGGGTTCTACCTGGCAGTGCCCCAGCTGCTCTGTCCTAGGCGTCCAGATTCAGCTGCTGTTGAAACTGATCAGTGGCTGATTCCAGGCAGCCCAGGGCAGAGCAACTCTGACTCGGGCTTCCTGTAGTCAGCCACTGGTCAATTTCAGCAGCGGGTGGATATGATACAAATTCAACTTAAGAACAAACCTACAGTCCCTATCTTGTACGTAACCCAGGGACTGCCTGTAGTACTGGTTCCCAAACCTGGGGTATGTGGTGTCTTGTCTATCAGGTGATACTGATAACTTCTTGATTTCAGCCACATAATTCTCTGTACGTTGTATTTCTAGAGGATTTATTTCTATTCCTGGGGTGGCAAATGTCATTTTGGCATCATCTTTGTGATTCCAAACACTGTTTGAGATGAGAAATATTGTGTCTTTGAATTTACATCTGTCTGTTATACAAGATAGATTATTTTCATTAAGAAATATCACGAGCTGTTCAAAATGCTGACATTCATGTTATGTTCTTCTTTTAGAAATATTGCTAAGATTATCCATGCACTGAAAAATAATATTCATAACAAATATACAGACCTATTTTTATCATTTAAAGAAACAGTATTTTTTAGTAATTCTTCCCTTATTTTTTCTTAGTTTTCTGTTCAGGTACTCTCTCCTCTTAGATCTGTATATCTTCATGTCTCATTCTCCTTTCCTCTTAGTTTCACCTTTCCATTTGTTCTTTGCCTCCTCTGCCCTCCTTTTCTTTACTACCTAAACAGAGTATTGTATTGTTTATCTTGGCAGAATTTGGAGAACAGAAGGAACTGGATGCATGTCTCTTCTGGCCTTAAAGTCTATGAGTAGTAACAGGATACTGTTTAAAGCTGCAATATGAAATGTAATCGCTCTGATTGCCTTATATTCCCATGATCACCATGTCATGCATCGTGATTAATTTTCCTTTGGTTTAGAAAAATCACAGTTTGACGGGGACTGGACTGCTCACCCCATCCATATTGCGGACCACACTCTACAGTCAATACTTAATCTTTACTGGTGCAAAACTGCCATTGACTGCCATGGTGCCTCAAACATCTGACTTTCAATGCCATTCTTAAAGCATGGACTTTGGGACAATATTCTCATAAACCTCATATTTAAAAAAAAAAAAAACCCTGAAAACTACACATTATATTTTAAAGTAAAAATGTTCATTAAATTAATGCATGTTATTTTCCAGAAAATGCAGTAGGTAGAACATATAATAAAATAAAAGTTTCATATGTTGTAGTAGATGGACTTATCTACATTGCTATTATCATAAAAAAAAGCAGGCACCTATGTAAACATATGTGCTTTCATTGAATATCCATTCATGGGCATGCATTCTAACCAGTTGCATTTTCCCTTCAGTTTACGGTTATTTCAGAAGTTTGACAATTTCCGGATTCTTGTATGTGGTGGAGATGGAAGCGTTGGTTGGGTTTTGTCAGAAATTGATAAACTCAGCTTGCACAAACAGGCAAGTGTGTGTACTTATTTTTTTTCCTTTGCCCACAGATAGGTAGGTAGATAGACCTGTAGACCTTACTTAAATCAACACTGCCATTGAAGTCACTAGGAAATTTGAACTAAATAAGGACCATATGATTAAACCTACAGGTTTTAATTAGTAATCAGCTATATAATTAACATTTGATTCTTGAAAGGGTAAATATTTATGTTGGTTCATGCTTCCATTTCTTTTACATGGAAATAAAAGATTTGATTTTTTTTGCTGTATTTCAGTGTCAGCTGGGAGTGCTTCCCCTTGGTACTGGAAATGATCTTGCCCGAGTCCTTGGATGGGGAGGGTCATGTGATGATGACACACAACTTCCTCAAATTTTGGAAAAGCTAGAACGAGCCAGCACTAAAATGCTGGACAGGTAAAAAAAAATGTGTATGTATGTATTTGTGACAGATTTTAGAAGTACCTGTGGAGGTTTCTAATGGCCTAAAAGTTTTTCTCAAAGGCTTCTTTTATTGTCGTTTTTGTTGTTTAAACAGCTTAAAAGGTAGCACATTAACAAAACCCATCACCAGTCAAGTTCATTTTCTCAGTTTTGTGAAGACTAGTCTCCCTCCTTGTTTTGCATGAGAGCTGTATTCATCCATGTAGCAAAGGAAGATCTTTGAGTTTCAAAAACAAATTGGCTGTGTTGATAATCCAATGAAGACATCATACTGTGTTGTTTATTGGTGTGTGTATGTGCATATTATACAATAATTATATACTACCCCATCCCCCTGTCTCAAAATCAAGTTCTCTTTTAATGTGAACTCGGCATTTGATCATTTCAAAAAAGGCTTCAGAGGTAATCCTTGCAATTACAGACCAAGAAGCCTATATCAATACCGGGTAAATTGGTTGGGGAAACCTAGCAATCCACAGAATGATTAGGCACACAGATAAACATGATATGTTGGGAGAGAGTCATCAAGGCTTCTATAAAAAGAAATCACGTCTCACCAGTCTCTTAGAATTCTGTAAGTAGGGGTTGTGGTCAACAAAAATTTGGATCAGTGTGATCTAGTGGATATAATGAATTAATACTTTCAGAGAGCCTTTGACAAGGCTCTCACTACAGATTGTTAAGCAAAATTAGGAGTCAGGATAAAAGAGGTCTTCTCAAGGATCAGTAACTGGTTAAAAGAAAAGGAAAAACTATGTAGCACTTTAAAGACTAACAAGATGGTTTAATAGGTGATGAGCTTTCGTGGGCCAGACCCACTTCCTCAGATCATATTCTGGAAGAGAATTGGCATGACCATATATATCAAAGGAATAGAATGAAAAAAATGAACACATTATTTAACTGTCAGTTTAATAAAGTGTTCACTTTTTTCAATGTATTTCTTTGGTATATATAGTCATGCCAATTCTCTTCCAGAATATGATCTGAGGAAGTGGGTCTGGCCCACGAAAGCTCATCACTTATTAAACCATCTTGTTACTTGTTAAAGTGCTACATAATTTTTCCTTTTGTTTTACCAAGATCAGACTAACTCGGCTCTCTATTACTGGTTAAAAGAAAATAAAGATAAAGAAAAATGGTCAGTTTCCTTGCAGAGAGAGTTAAATAGCAGATTTCCCCAAAGATTTATCCTGGGACTAGAGCTGCTCAACATATATTGGTAAATGATGTGGGAAAAGGGGTAAGCATTGAAGTTGCAAAGTTTTCAGGCTATACAAAATTACTTAAGACTCTGGGCTAGGTGGACTGTTGGTCTGACCCAGTATGGCATTTTTATATTCTTACTTTAGAAAGGAAGATATGTATCATTATTCTGCTTTTATGATGTGGATACTATAGGGTGAACTGATACTATACTGTGAACTGACTTTCCCAAGGTTACCTGGTAGGTCAGCAGTAGAATTTGGGAGTACTACCAAGGTGTCATGTCTTTCACTTCAGTGTCATATTCAGTGCACCTCACTACAGTAAAACTCCAATTGTCCGGCATCCAGTGGTCCGACACTCCTGACAGTCTGGCACCAACTGGAACCCAGAAGTGCTCCGGCCAACCGGACAGTTGGAGCTGCTCTGCCCCTGGCTTCCTCACCTGAGCGGTGCTGCGGGACAAACCCGGCAGCACTTCAGCTACTCTGCCCCCAGCTTCCCCAAGTCCGCCACTGCTGAAACTGACCAGTGGCTGACTTGGGGAAGCCGGGGGCAGAGCAGCTGGGGTGCTGCCAGGTTGATCCCGTAGCGCCGCCCCTCACCTGAGCGGCACAGTTCCTCGCCGACCCCCTCCGACCTCTCATGCCCCCCCTTCCGGTACTCCGGCATATCTGATAATCCAGCACCCCCTGGGGGTATGTCTACACTACCCTCCTAATTCGAAATAGGAGGGTAATGTAGGCATACCGCAATTGCAAATGAAGCCTGGGATTTGAATTTCCCGGGCTTCATTTGCATAAAGCCGGCCGGCGCCATTTTTAAATGGCGGCAGTTCGAGCCCCGTGCCGCGCGGCTACACGCGGCATGGAGTAGCTAGTTCGGATTAGGCTTCCTAATCCGAACTAGCTGTACTCCTCGTGGAATACAAAGCCTAATCCGAACTAGCTACTCCGTGCCGCGTGTAGCCGCGCGGCACGGGGTTCGAACTGCCGGCATTTAAAAATGGCGCCGGCCGGCTTTATGCAAATGAAGCCCGGGAAATTCAAATCCCGGGCTTCATTTGCAATTGCGGTATGCCTACATTACCCTCCTATTTCGAATTAAGAGGGTAGTGTAGACATACCCTGGGTCCTAAAGGTGCCGGATTATCGGAAGTTTACTGTACCTGCTATAAGTAGCTGTTGTATAATAAAAGTTGATGAGACTTTTATACAGGAAGTAATTTGGATATCATAGGCAAAGACAAGACATGTTCAACAACTAAACAGCGAAAGGTGAGATGACAACAAATTCTCGAAACTCAGTGACTTAACATCAAGAAATGCTGATATTTCACAACTCCCACTTACTTTCTAATTATAAGAGTTTTTATTGTTCATCCTACTCAGGGTGAAAACCCCAGGAAAGACCCCATATGTATGTGATTATTTTTATTTTGTCACTAAATTTTTATTCTGTTGACAAGCCGAAGTGTCTGTTGTGTGGATGTTCTTAGAATAATCTGATAATTTGGAAAATTTTAAAAGCTGGTACTTTTATTTCTTTCAGATGGAGTATAATGTCATATGAACTAAAATTACCATCAAAGCCTTCTCTTCTTCCAGTTACTCCAGAAGAGGAATCTGAGGAATGTCAGGTAAGGCTTTATTTTGCATACACCTAGCTGTTTGAGTGACAACATGAAAAAGATAATGAAAATAGTTAAGAGAAAAAGTGCTACAGGAATAAGAAGTCATTAAATCAGATCTAGTTCATGTCATAAACATATCATAAGGTTTTCAGTCCTTGATTAAAATATTTCATTTTTTTTCTAAAAAAGGAGCGAGGAGAGTAGGTGATCCTCATCCTCATCAGAGCAATCAGAAAGAATTCACACCACCGATGAAATAATTTTCTTGTAAAAGTAAAACATTTACTAGTATATCTTGAATTTAGGAAAAAATGAACTGTGAGGGTTTTTTTTGGAAGGAATCTGCTTTCTTGAGAAGAATAAAGGCATCTTGTACCTGATGAAAGTGCCTTACAGGACTGCATGATTTCCTTTCCCCTTTTTGTCCATTCAGAAATCAGCAAATAATTGCTGGACTGGTAGACTATCATAATACAGCTTTCAGACTAGATGCCTACCTCATTCCCATTGTAGCATCACTCTGGGGGTGGGATGAAGTGTTGTGATTAAATTCACGTGGTATAAGATGTTGTAATGGCTGGAAATGGCAAAATGTCACCCTCCTGCAAGATTTCATGCAGCTATCAATCCTAACTTGAGAATACTCGAGAAGCAGAAATTAATTAGTAGGTTCCTGATTAAGAATTCAATCATTAGCAAATCTGTTTGGATAGTTCAGAGTCAGTAAACTCTGGGAGTTCACTAAATAACTGAGATTCAGAGAGCTTCGGGTCCCAACTCTACTGTCCTTTGCAGTGGCATTAGAACATTTTTACAGTGTGGGTGGTGAAAGCCAGTGGTCCCCAAACTTTTTATGTCATTCCTCCAGAGCTGGGGCTAGGCATGAGGTTATGGCTCCAGGAGGGGGGCAAAGACAGGGATACGGGGGCCAAGGGTGTGGCCACAGCTGGAGGCAGGAGCAGAGTCCTGAATGTGAGTCCAGCAGCAGAAAAATGCTGGTTTTGAGCCAGAGGGAGTTGGGGGACCCTAGGTGTGGGACCAGGAGTAGAGCTCTGGCCACCAGGTGGGGGTGCTGCCTCCTCCCCCCAACACCCTTATTTTCTACATCTATGATCTTTTGCCATGCAGCTCTATCCCCAGTGGATAGATTGTGTACTTTTCTACCATTTTGTAGAACTATCCATGCTTTCAAATATGTCTTCCACTTCTACAGTTAGAAAATATAATGCATATTCCAGTTAAATATTGCTATGAAATTGTTCAAGTTAGTACCAATTAAAGCTAAAGAAATGATGTACAATACTTATAACCATAATATTTAGAAAATAAGTACCATAGGCCATTTTCCTAATTGTAATTATTCGGAATGATAAACAATCATTTTCTTTTGGGAATCTTGAACTCACCCCTCCCCCACATATTAATATATTCTGCATAGTTTAGTTTGGTTTTAACTGAAATTAAAGTATTTGAAAGACTAGAGACTAATTGACTAATCTTACTTTGTGTTATAACAATTTAAAATGGTAAATATCTACACACTTTCATTTTCATCATAATCATTTCACTTGGGCCACACTGGGACCTCAGACATCAGTGTTTGTTCTCTGATGCAACATTTTATTTATTTTTCCTTTAATATCTTTAATGCTTTAATATCAGAGCTCTGGAGCTAAGGTGAATGGTTAAAACAATGGAATAAATTATATTTCTACTTATTCTGTGTCACAAATAGAAACTCAGATAACTAATGGATTTTTAGATGTCTTCAATAGAAGCATAAAGTACCTTGTTTAAATCTCACAAGCACAAAATCATTGTGAAGCAGGATTTAGTTTTTAAATTATGGGTTAAATATGGAGTAGGTGATAATTTTTGATGGGGGAGCCACTCCAGGATTTTGGTAAGTGGTCAAGAACCATGCTTTTCCATGATTTATTTCCAACCCATTGTTTTTGATGCAGGATATCTTTCACTTTTTTTTCTCAGAAAGAACATTCTGTTTTAGATCTAAAATCTCTTCAGACCATCATCTGGGAAAATATGATGGTATTGTTGGCTTTGGAGGATGATAACTTCAAGGAAACCTTTAATTGGATTTTAGCACAGAAATAACTATCACTCATTCTTTATCCAGAAAAGAGAGAATTCTAATTCAATGTTTCATAGTCACTGTGATTTTGAATATTTAAGTGTAGTGAAGGGAGGTCTCTGACCTTCCTACACTAAGTGTAGATCTCATATGTTGGAAGTAATCCCATTTATCTGGGAAGATAATTACCGCTTTGTGTTAAATACTAACACAGGTGGAATATGAAGATTCATTTTTGCTGCATTTTCAGATATCTGCTTATGAGGATTCAGTTGCTGCTCATCTCACAAAAATCCTTAATTCTGATCAGCACTCAGTTGTCATATCATCTGCCAAGTGAGTTGATGATTTTGATGTATAATGTGTAGGATAACCGCTGCGTTCCATCTTCATATTATAACCCTTCCAATAAGCTCAAATTTCTTCTGACTTTTCATCAGTTGGTTTGACCTAACAGTATCCTGATTTATATGTTACAATGTACAGTTGGTTTATTTGTATAGTTATGTTGTATTATATGTGTTAATGTAATTAAAACAAGCCAATCACACAAAAATCTTAAAGCTCATGTAATGCAAAAAAATCATTCAGTTAATTAAGACATTAGTATATTAAGTTAAAACATAAGCCATATTTTTACTTTTGCATAAAGGAGATCCAGTTTACTTACAGTTTGTTTGTTGTTCATATTCAGTCTGTTAGAAGCACTCATATATCTAATGTGGAAATAGAAGTCTGCAGCTGTATGGCAGAATTCTATATAAAATAATTAAATATTGGCTCAAGCTACTGAATTTTTATCCCAAATTTGAACACCTCTCTATGTGCGGGCTCATTTCTCCAGAAATCATGGCTCCTATATGAAATCACAATATTCCATTTTACTTTACTGAGGAAAAGGGGGCCTTGCCAGTTGACTGACAGAGTCAAGACTGCATGCAACTGTCATTACAGATTACAATGCAGTTTATATCAGCACAGTCTACGTACTACACCTTTAAAATGTGTGTGCACCAGATAATCAGAATTCTGGATTTTAATTATTGACTCCCTTTTTAAGATCCACCATTTAATCACTGAGAATTGAAATTACACACAATTAATATTAAGTATTTATTCAAGCCCCAACACATAAATTTGCTCTGGATCTTCAGAACAGGCAAATTCTGCTCTCAAATATAGTAATGAAAGCTCACGGACATCATTATCATTTGGACAGGTATATCTCAGGGCAGAATATGGCTCAATGGCCTTGATCCTGCATTGAGAACTCTATAAATGGACCCTGTGAGGAGGTGGGCTAGTCTCAGAAGCCCACTGCTTGGAGGCCTCAAGGTCCAGCCATACTCTATCCGAGGCAGAATCTGAAAAGAAGTCCTCCAAGTGGCCTACATTTTTGCAGGGAAGCCAAAAATGAGAGAGGCTGCAGGATGTAGATAATGTAAAGCCCAATAGGGAATTAAAAGAGGAGCTACAGAACATAGCAGCAGTCAGTTGCTGCTTGGAACTGGAGAAGAGAGAAGTGTGCTTCTTGCTGTATAAAGGAGCATCAGTACCATGGACATCTCAGTATGGGCAAGGACTGAGGGAGCACCAGAAGAGTTTGTGGCTGGTTGCTGGGACTGAGTAAGAGCAGAGTGCAGGGCTGGCTCACAAGAAGGTGGTATCTCCAGAAAGGAAGCGCTGGAGATATAACCCCATAGTTGGGTCAACACTACTTAAAATCTGAGCCCAAGTAGGGTTAGAGATGCATGAGCTGAGGGATACTGAGACCAGGCTCCTTGTGGGCAGTATAACCTGGAAGTGGTCTGTTCCGATTCACATACAGTTGGAGGGCTGAAAAACCATCTGGGAACCACTGTCAGGGGTCATCAGAACTGAAAGACACACCCAACCAGAAGGGCACACTTTTGAGAGGTGGGAACTGCCCCAGTGCAGACCAGGGGACCCACATAGACTCTCACTGAAGGCTGCATGAATGTAAGAGTCTGCCCACATGGATTTGCAGGTTGGGGCTAAGTCCATAGAGGGAACAACTCTGCTGGTATGGTTGGTGATACTGTTAACAAAAGGTATTCAAACAAGACAACAAATTAAAATGGCCCCATTAATGGCATCTCAGTTAGAAACAGAAGAGTAAACAGAAGAAAGGAATAGGGTACCAATGTGAACCAAAGGGCACTGGAGACTTACAAAGAAAAAATATATAACTACTTAAAAAAGTTATTTTATGGTGTTCTCTTTGCAACCAGAATGGTCTACAATTGTGCCCTGGAGAGAAATGGCTATAATTGTATTGGAATGTCTACTTAAACATGTGAAGTGTATGATTTTAAAACTCTTGCTATAACTTTTCTTAATGTCCTCAAGCAAAAGAAGCATGGGAGTTTGGTGGAATTTTAGTAAGAAAACCAAAGATATGTTAGCAATTAAAACAAAATACATCCAATAATTAATATTAAAAGATCCAGCCAGTTTATTTATTTATTTATTTATTTTACTCCTCTTTTTTATCCAAAGGGTACTATGTGAAACTGTAAAAGACTTTGTAGCCAAAATAGGGAAGACCTATGAAAAAACAATGGAAAATGCAGAAGAAGCTGATGTCATGGCCATTAAAGTAAGAACTTTTTTTTACATATTTCAGCTACAATTAGGTTTTTAAAATACGATGAAAATTAAATTAATTCAGGATACTTGGTATTTTAATTCAAAAGTAATTCAGGATAGGGATGTAAGCAAATGGTCAACTACCTGATAAGTCCAGGCTACCCGTAGTCAAGTCGACTACTCAACTACTTGCATTTCACTATACCCCACTTTGCTGCCTCTCTATCAGAGGCAGCAAGGTGGGGGGGCAGGAGCTGGTGATAGGAGGAGCTGGCTTAAAAGCTGGTTCCCCCCAGCACCCTCTTCATGGTGCCACCTGCTCCCTTGCTCCCTAAATTGTATTGACTGCATGATTAGACAGTTACCTGCCTCTTAACATCCTTAGTTCAAGAGACCTGACACTGTTCTCAGTGAGGTCAGAGGCTATAAGTTGTTTTTCTTTCCAATAAAGGGACCAACTTTACATTATAAAACTTCTGATTAAATTTACCAAAGATGCCTTATATTCTTTTCCATTCCACAAAATAAAAAACAAGACTCATAGACTGTAAGGTCAGAAGGGACCTACATGATCATATAGTCTTACTTCTTGCACATTGCAAGCCACAGAACCTCACCCTCTCATACCTAAAATATATCCCTAACCTTCTGGCTGAGTTAGTGAAATCCTTCTGGCTGAGTTAGTGAAATCCTTCTGGCTGAGTTAATTTAAAGACTCCAGGTTACAGAGAGTCCACCATTTACACTATTTTAAACCTGCACGGAACCTTTGCTCCATACTGCAGTTTCTCTGTCAGTCTGACCTATGAGAAAAATCTCTTCCCCAGCCCAAATATAGTGATAATTTTGACTCTGAGCTCTTGGGCAATACTCACCAGCCAGACACCTGGGAAAGAATTCTCTTTAGTGACTCACAGCCCTCCTTATCTAGTTTTCCATCATCAGCCATTGGAGATATTTGCTGTTAGCTGTTGCAGATTGGCTACGTGCCATTGTAGGCAATCTCATTTTACCATTCTCTCCATAAACGTATCAAGTTCAGTCTAGAAGCCAGTTTGATTTTGGGCTCCTGCTGCTCCCTTGGAAGGTTGTTCTAGAACTTCACTCTTTACCATTCTCTCCATAAACGTATCAAGTTCAGTCTAGAAGCCAGTTTGATTTTGGGCTCCTGCTGCTCCCTTGGAAGGTTGTTCTAGAACTTCACTCCTCTCAGGGCTAAAATCCTTCACCTAATTTCAAGCCTAAACTTGCTGATGTCTAGTTAATAGCCATTTGTTCTTACATCCACATAGGCACTTAACTTAAATAACTCCTCTCCCTCCCTGGTATTTAACTTTCTGGTGTACATAGCAATCGTATCTCATCTGTCTTCTTTTGGGTAAGCTAAATAATAGAGACTTGATATTATTGAAAAACATATCAATTGAAACAGTATTTATTTACTTTTCAGTTAATAATCAGTATGTATTCTAGGCATATATTGGGGGGAGCAGGTAAAATGCATGGTTACAACCACAGGCATTCACAGAAATATACTGTTGTAAGAATTTGACTTTTCTGTAAAAGGGATACAATTAACTGCAGTAAAGCAATGGGACTGCAAAGAGAAAATAAATGGATGAGGGGGAACAGTAGTACATATAGTGGGCCAGGCTGAGATCACAGACCCTTGATCTAGACTGGGTTAGAAAGAAAAAATTACTTAAGCAAAAAGTACTTATTCTGTTGACCTTGTGATTGTACAGTTATGTCTTTGTGTTTCAGTCCCTGATGTTGTTTCTTCACCATACGCTTAAGCAAAATAGAAAGCTATTAAAATAGTGTTTAGTGAAGAATTAAAAAAAAAAAAAATCCTGCACCAAACAAGTTACTAACCTGGCATAGACTTTTAGGTTCTCACACTACAATCTGATAGTTAACTTTTGAACTGACACTCACTTAAGTGATTTTTTTTCTTTTTGTTTGTATGTGTAACTTTGTTAGTGTTCAGAATTAAATGAGAAGCTAGACCTATTGCTCCAGGCTCTTCACACCGAAGCCCAAGCTACACCCATTCTACCACGGATCACTCCCCCAATTGTAGAGGAAGAAGTTGAGGAGTTTTCAAGTGAAGAATCTTTGTCTGAAAACAAGGAACAGTTAACAGAGAGCATTGCAAAGTCTTCCACTCCAAAAATCTTCAAACCAAGAGAACAGTTAATGCTGCGGGCAAACAGTTTAAAGAAGGCAGTGAGGCAAATCATTGAACAAGCAGAAAAAGGTGCACATCAGGAAGAGTTTGCTTGTTAACCACAAAATGTCACTGTTTCTGCTAGAATAAAGTTCCATTATTAAAACTTGATTCCCATATGCTTACGAAAATTCAGTATATGGTTGTTATAAGCCATTTGCCACATGTTATATATATATCTAGAGAGAGGCAGTATATATATCTGTTTGTCTGTATCTTTATACCATATTCATTTCTGTGCCACCTGATGGACAAGATGGAGTCCTTATAATTCCATTTGTCTGCTGTCAAAGGGAGTGGCTATTGAAGATCTACTCAACAATGTATGAAATCCCTACCAAGTACTACTTTCTTTGCTCCTTTTGTCATGTTGATCTGGATTCCTGAGAAGATTACAAGTGCATATGCTTGGGTGCTGGGCTTGTTTTTTTTAAGTTTGCAGAAAAAAATGGCATTCTTATTTTTCTTAATCTTGCACTAAAACTACTTTTTAAATTTCCAGTTACTGAAATTATTTTCTTATTGAAAAGTATTGTGGTGTAATTTAGCTTGCAGGATTTTTTTTCTTAAAAAATGAAGAAATTCAATGCCAAAATTGGTTCAAAGTAGCCGTAAGATGGTATAAATGATCACCAGAACTCAGGGACCCTTTTCCAGGTTCTACATCTGTGCAGTTTCCACAGGTTTCAGTGGGACTGGCTTGCATGCAGCAGCCAAAAAATCAAGGTCTTGACAGCTAATTTTTAATTTCAAAAGTTGTGTTAATTTACCTGTGTTGCATATGGGGTTTTTTGCTCCTATTTTTTCTGATTAAATGTGTGGCTTCATATGTTGTATATCACTATATGTTTACTACAAAAGGGACAGGATGTCACACTGTCCAAGTGTTATCTTCAGGTTCATAGCATAGGTAGGCTACATCATTGAAATGTAATTCAGAGTTTCTCAAGTAAAAGAGAAAACTCCTGTTTTTAAAAGTAGTTAGATTTACAAAAATGTACTTGTAGCTATGTACATATTTTGCACTGTCTCACAATTTACTGTGAGTATTTGTGAATGCAGGTGACCAGTTGTACACTGTACCTGATTGCGTGCATAAATTGGATTTTGAAAATTAGATAAAAATATTCTCAGACAATACAGTGATATTAGGAAATTTGACTCAACTAAATAGCATATAACTGAACAAGATGAGATTTTTGATGCAATATGTTTTACTTACTTTTGTAACTCTTCTCCTTCAAAAAGAAAAGTACTGAAAAT